AGCCACGTGTCATCAAATTTGGTAGCGATTTCAGTGGGTTGGATGCAGCGTATCTGGCCCTGAGCCGGCTGAAGCTGAAATCAAAGATGATGTTTGCCAGCGATGCAGCGGAGAGCTGCCGGGAAATGTTGAAGCTGAAGCATTGCCCGGGGAGGATCTTTAATGATGTTTTGGCCCGCAAAGAAGATGAGGAAGATGACGTAGATGTTTATGTCACCACGCCCCCGTGCCAATCCTGGTCAGCTTGTGGAAAGCAGCAGGGGCTCCGCGATAAGCGGGGCAAACTCCTCAGTGCCAGCTTCAAGTATATACAACGCCGCCGCCCACGTTTAGTCGTCGTGGAGAACGTTCCAGGCCTGTGCTTCAAGAAGAACAAAGCAGTCTTAACGGGGATGTTGAAAGCTTTCGTCAAACTGGGCTACAGTGTCTGGTGGCGTGTCTTGAACAGCTCAGATTTTCAAGTACCGCAAGAGCGGAAGCGCTTGTTTATGGTCGCCATCCAGAAAGACGCCCTCCGACATCCCTTCACCTGGCCAAAAACAATTGGCAAAGCCACGTTGGAGTCAGCCTTGGACCACGCGCGGTCCTCTGACAAGGCTGGGCGCTTGCCGCCAAATGAAACCGCCGCAAGCTTGGTCAAATCAGCGTACTCCAAGGTGTTCAAGACGGGTATTGATCCGAGAAGAGTGCCCGTGCTGGTGGATATAGGGTGTTCGCCCAAGTTCGCGTCTTTCGGAGTTAACATTGCACGCACGTTGACAAGGACGCGAGGCGGAAGTCGGGCTTGGTGGGTCAGCACCCGTGGACGGAAGGTTACCATTACAGAGCTGATGCGGATCTCAGGCATACAACCTGAGGAACTTTCCGGGTGGAAAGACACTGTCTCAGAAACCCAGTTGGGGCAAATGTTGGGAAATTCTGTACCTGTGCCACTAATCCAGGCAGTTCTCTCACAAGCTTTGGAAGCTGCTGGCCTCAAGCTGCCCGCGAAAGCTTGAAGGCTGCTTCGGCCTCCCTGCCTCGTCGTCTAAGTCTAGGCAGCTGCTCCGGCTGAAAGATGCGGCCGGCTGTTTCGGCCGATTGCAGCAGCATCATCCAGGCTTTTGCTTTTCTGGCTGCTTCGGCCATTGGTCCCTGTGGCTGTTACGATGACTGCCTCGCCGCGTGGCGTGTGTTAAAATGCGCAAAAGTAGGACTCAGACAACACGCCACAAGCGATATCTGTAACTTTGAATATTACTTTTCATGACGTCAATGCTATTTATTATTTCGTCGTTGTGTATGCGAAACCCATTTAATCACAATAACAGCGTTTGTGAATTGAGGCGCGGATCTATGCACTGCGGTGGTTTAGTTTTAGGCTGGAAGGCCTTTGACGTTGCTAAGACGTCATTATTGTCCGAAACCTACTACTCGACTACGATTTTTT